CAACGGCAGGAGAAATGGCTTGAAGGAGATGAGATGGAATAGGATCAAGCGGACAAGTAGTAGGATGATTGGATTTAACACACTATCCCAGAATTTTGACTTTTGTGTCACAATTATGACTTTCTATCTCATAATTATGACTTGATTATGAGATAAAATTTTGAAACAATGAGATAGTTGAAATTATGCAATAAAAAGTCAGTTTTTGTCATAATTATGAATTTGTATCTCATAATTTCAACTTTTGTGTAATAATTATGAATTTTTATCTCATACTTTTATATGTTTTTCCATTCGTTTTTCAGTTAAAACTGCATGCATTATACCTTTAAAGAATTAGCACATGCACAAGAGTCCACATCCAAATATCAAACTGCAATTCAGTGTCAACACAATAATATTAGGTTCACTACTATGTCATGCTTGTGTGAGAGTGATCATCTTCAGAATGCTCTGTTAGTATTATTACTTACCTCAAAACTGATAGAGCCATTGTGATCTGTGTCGAATGCATTGAACAGAAAATGTGCATACGTTGATGCATCTGAAAAATAAAACAGGAAACTTATCAGCTTCAATCACAGCAATGTCATTACCTCATTTCATAGCATATTCTGTTCAACAACAAAGGGGATGCATGAGCTTGCACAAGCTATGATCCATTATACTATAAATAATGCAAGCAGTGTGTGTATGTGAATGAGCTGGAAATGAGTAGGGCCACGTGAGAGAGATCTGTCACAAACCCTGACAAATGATGTAGAGAAGCTCAAACCCATAATTATAAAAGTACTCCTTTGACTTTGCAGTGGCACAAGTCATGTGACTCAAAAGAGAAGAGAACCACTACAACAGCCATTTCCACAGGGAGACCTCCATTCAGATCAGTGGTGTGTGTGTGTGTTGGTCTGCTGAAATGATGAGGAAAACTTTCCTCTGGGGCTTTTTAGTTCTATAAATTCATGTTACATTTCTATTTGATGTTATACAGTTTCTGGGTTAAAGACACAAAATCATGTTTTGGTAAGTCATAGTTATGACATAGAGTCATACATATGAGATACAAATGAGGCCTAATTCATAATTATGAGATAAAAACTCAATATTATGAGTTTTATTATCAATATTATTATGAGTTTTTGTGATAATTTTGATATATCTCCTAATTTTGACTTCCGGGTCACCATTATGACTTTTCGGTTCTTCACAGTTTTTAATATGAAAGTCAAAATTATGAGATACTAAGTAGAAACGATAACATAAAAATTAGATTTTTTTTTCATAATTGTATCAGTATTTTAATTTTGACTTTTGTGTCATCGTTCTGGCTTTTTAGTTTTTCACAGTTTTCAATTATGGAAGCCCATTTCCACCACAAAAGAAAAATGTTTTGGTGAATCATAATTATGAAAGATATACTGAAAATTATGAGATAGTGGAAATTACAACATGAAAAATAGAATTTTTGTCATAAATATCTGCAATTTTGACTTTTGTGTCATCTTTCAAATCATCTTTATCTCATCATGACTTAGTATCTCACAATTTTGACTTTTTATGTGATAAATTCAACGTTTTATGTTATGATTATGCAGGACTTTTTTCTTACGTGGCAGAAAATTATAATATATTACTGAAAACACTTTTAGTCACCACAAGCAAGTTTTTCCAATAAGCCTGTTTTGCAAAAACAAAAACTGCAATAATACTGGCTTATTCAAGTCTGAAATATTGTTTAATAAGACTGAATCAACCTGACTACAACAGCTTATACCAACAAAATATTATAAAGGGTCAGATCAGGCTGTATTCAAAATGTAATACAGTATAACTGTAAAGGAGAATATATGACTTTAAATCCACTCACCTCCCTGTGGGAAAAACTGAGAGTAAATTTCCTTAAATGTGTCTTCGTTGACCACACCACTGGGGCATTCCTGAAAAACACATATACAGACATTTCCATCACTGAGATGTTATTGAGATGTTATTGAAGAGTGATTTCACCAAGAGAACCATTATGTGCATGAACATCCAAATAGGAAATGGCACCATTGCTGAGCAATAAACACATTACCCATTGTCCATTCTCATTCTAATGTGCATCATAAATGAAATTGTGAAGCAGCAGGCAAACACATTGCGCTAGAAGTGCATTTGCAGCATTGAACATAATCTCATATGACTCTCCTTCATTTCAAATAAACGAGCTCAGAGAGATTGCAAGTGCTTGTCAGACTTTTACATTTTTTTTCCAGTGTTGTAAGATCAAAATTCTTTGCTCTAGTATCTAGTACTCATTACTAGGTAATGGTAGACCTCATATATGATTTCTCTAGCATGTTGTATCACTAATAAATTGTGAGGAATGTGCACGCTTAATGCTTGAATTTGCATTCGATTTTACGTGATGACTTGCACTAAAAATGACGCTTTGAAAAGCAGATCGACCTTCTCAAGATGACCAATAGTTTAAGCTGTCATGCTTGTCTGATGAAACGATCTCAGACGTTTTGGTTCAGTAAACACATTTATGAGTGGCTCTTCAGAAATTATCCTTTCAAGCCTGAGAATGAATTATGAGAGGACGACTGTTGTCTCACAACACCAGCAATGCCGTTTCTTTCTTATTCTTGTTAAGGGAGTTGTAAGATGTCTGGTGAAGATAAATAATAAACTAGCGTATTTTATTAATTTTTGAAATTGTAGCAGATATGACAGATGCACATTATTGCTTTTATTTAAATATCACTAACGCAGTGATAGCCTGACAGATAAAGCGATTACAGATTGAACTTTATAAGACCTGTATTTAGCAAACCTTTATTAGGCAGTTCCAGCATTACTCATGTGTTCCCCTCGATATGATAAACCAGCTAAAATAAAGTCAAATCACATTTTTAACAATGCATCTCCCTTGATGACAGACATAAAAGCAATGAAAGAAATTAATGTCGTTGTCTCGTAGAAGATGCCACCACTTTCTGTTAGATGTATTATTTTAATTCACGTGTTTGTAGCAAAAGAACTGAGAACTGTGATGTTCTTTAACTAGTTTATGCAAAGCACAATATTAGATTCTGACGGCTGGTTAACATTCGGCTTTATATGGAGAAACAGATAAGTAGAGTAGCAGCAAAGTAGCTTTAATATTTAATTTGAGGGCATGTATTCATCCTTCCGGTTGCAATTTAAAGTGAGTAATAAAGGTGCCATTTTTGTTGACATAATCTGTGCTATTATATGATGAAGACCAAACATCCCACACCCACAGCACAAAATAAAGTCCATTCTGATGTTTATGCCTTATTCTTAGCATCATTAACTGTCTGTAACTTGTTTCATAAATCTTATTTAAAAACATACAAATATTTTGCGCTTCCATAGATCGTATAATGAAAGAAATCTGTCCATACTGCACTCCAGCAATGATAAACACATGATTCTGTATGTCATATGAAGGATCTTAACAAATGGAACAATCCAAAATTGTAATAGCTGGAACAGTGTCATTTGGACCCCAGGAATTGGATTAGATTACACAGTAGACCGGGAAGTTGATTGCTGTTGCTTTATCATAAATGGTTTGGCAATTGCAGCAATTATGAAGCATGCTTTTCCAGTGTTACAATATCAAGCAAGGAATAAGTGCAGACAATTGTTTAGACATCTTTAGTTTACATACCCAAGAGAGATTTCAGTTATTTGATTTTCTGTGACCAGAAGTGACTAAAGAATCTAAATCATCTACTTTTGTGTGTGTGTGTAGATAGATAGATAGATGACAGACAGACAGCTAGACAGACAGACAGACAGACAGACAGACACAGACACAGACAGATGATAGACAGACAGACAGACAGATATATGATAGATAGACAGACAGATAGACAGACAGACAGACAGATATACAGACAGACAGACACAGACAGATGATAGACAGACAGACAGACAGACAGATAGATAGATAGATAGATAGATAGATAGATAGATAGATAAAGGAAGTTCATCAAAATATCATTTAGATTTTTTTAATAAATATAAATTAGATCAATTCTACAGACATATATAAAATCTACAGTATATTAGACTATATTTTAAGTTTTCTGAAGCAAGATGGTAGCTTTATGTGAAGAAAAGGCTGCAACTTAAGTCATTCACTGACCATCTAGAACCAAACTTGCCCTAAAACGTGTCACATCCCATCAGTGATGCCAATTTTGACGCCAACGTGAATTTCCGTGACTTTTGCAGTCATTTGCGATCACTTGATAGAGATTTGTAAAATACATTTGCACTCAAGATAACTTTTTTTTTTTTTTTTTTTTTTTAAAAACCTGTGCTTTTGCACATGCATGCATGTGACCATGCATGAAATGTATTTTCACTATGAAAATTTCCATAACTTTTCTCTGTCTCTTCTAAGATGGGATTCATTTCGCTGTTTTTTTCAGGCCTGGAAAGCCACATTTTGAAAATAGCCTGATATTTTCAAGCTTTTCATGACTGTGGAAATAATAAAAGACTGATCTTTAAACTAATCTGTTAAGAACTTTTTGGAAAACATTGCATGTTTAGACCTGACGTAATGAAGCGTCCGGCTGCAGGGCAAAATAATTGATTTTATAAAGTGGCCACATGTACCAGTACATGGCAAAACTCTGAGCAATAAAACGACATGAAAATCAAATAATCACAAACCAGCCTCTGGCGTTCAGAGCCAGATATGAAACCTCATTACAGTATTCCCTTTGCTGTGTATTGAGCAACTAGAGGAGGAGGACTGGAGGACTGAGAGGTGCTGGGAAAACCGTGCGGTTTTTGATACAAGCACAGCACAGGAGGGATTTACTCTTAGATCATGCTTTTACATTCTTCAATAAAAAACACCGTACAACTGTCTGTCACACTCTCAGAAAACAGTTTGAATCTGCCGGCCTGAATTCAGTCAGGGCATATGTCTTCAGTATTCAGTATAACATTATATTCGGTACACGGTATACAGACATTGACTGATGGACTGGAGTGGTGTGGATTACTGTGATGTTTTGATCAGCTGTTTGGACTCTCATTCTGACGGCACCCATTCACTGCAGAGCATCCATTGGTGAGCAAGAGATGCAATGCTACATTTTAGATCAAGAAACAAACTCATCTACATCTTGGATGACTTGATGGTGAGTACATTTTCAGTAAATTTTCATTTTTTGGGTGAACTATTCCTTCAAGATAACATTTCCAAAGACTTACTGTGCACTGTCATGATATGCATGTTTAAATGGTGATTCACCTGCTATTCTGCATTCTGAATTATTATTAATAACAACAAAAACAGTCTGAAATGTGTCCTCTGCACCACCAATTACCTTGGGCTCTGCTACATGGAAGAAGCCCTGCTACAGTAAATTGTTTTGTCTAATCCAGCACTTCACATCTTTGACATAAAAAGGCTGTGTCTGAGAAAGTTCTGTGCTGTTACAGTGAGCTCTGGTTAATTAAAAGGGATTGTTTTGTGTTACTGTCATCCACTGTCTCTTGTGCAGGCAGCGTGAGAGAGACCCCGTGTAATTACCTTTTAAGAGACGCACCGTTCTCATCAGACACCATCACTGCCAAAGTCTTCTCCACATTATCAAAACTCCAGGAGCATTGCAGGGTTCATTAACAGCGTTAAGATACACAGACTGTAATTAAAATATTTTTTCAGCTTACTGAAGCATGATCATTCACTGACGGCACACAGAGGATTAAGGACAGAATATCTGGCATATTTTGGTTTTAGCTAACCACTAATTCATAGGAGTCATGGGATAATACAACTGAAATAACACAAAGGAAAAGTCTGAATGAAGCCGAAATGATTCTGAAATACCCTGTTAGTAGCAGATTCAGTTAATTTGTCTTTTTCAGCTACTTTGCAGATAATCAAGTTTAATTTAGGCCCGGATCATTTGTGGAGTGTAATTAACCTAGTAAGAAGAAAAATATGACCGCCATCTCTCATAAAATGAAATCTTCTCATCTGTAAAATCCACTATTGTGCATGACTTCCACTGATCTACAAGGTCGATTTCTCCCATACAAACATCTACAAACTTCTCTCAGCACTATTTGTGACCTTGGACCACAAAACCAGTCATAAGGGTCCATTTTTTGAAATTGATATTTATACATCACCTGAAAGCTGAATAAATACGCTTTCCATTGATGTATGGTTTGTTAGGACAGGACAATATTTGGCTGAGATACAACTATTTGAAAATCTGGAATCTGAGGGTGCAAAAAAATCAAAATATTGAGAAAATCACCTTTAAAGTTGTCCAAATGAAGTTCTTAGCAATGCATATTACTAATCAAAACTTAGTTATAGCATAAAAGAAAAATCAATAATTTAGACCCATATACAATGTATTTTTGGCTATTGCTACAAATATACCCCAGCCACTTAAGGCTGGTTTTGTGGTCCAGGGTCACATTTGGTTTTGAATTTGTGTCTGATCAAGAGTCTGAACTGAACAATGCACTTATTTTTATTTATTTCTTTGTCATTTTTTGAGGCAGCAGTTCTGGTGCCCTTGGTGTGATAAGAAAAAGAAAAAAAAAAAGAAAAACTACCATTAAAAAACATAATAGTTGTTTATTTACATGAATGCCTTGTCAAATCCTGATCAGTAAAAACATAAATAAATAAATAAAGAGAAAGTTCAGAAATGAAAATTCCGTCGTCATTTTTTTCATCCTCGAGTTGTTTCAAACCTGTAAGGGTTTCTTTCTTCACTCAAAAAAATGTTTCATTCATCCAATTAAAAAAAAGGGCTTGCCCTAAGGGCAAGTTATTTATTTTTTATTGGCTCAAGTTAAAAAATATAGATGTGAATCATTACCCTACATTTTTTTAATTGGATGAATGAAACATTTTTTTCAGTGTTCTGTTGAACACAAAAAGAAGATATTCTGAAAAAATGCTGGTAACCAAACAATTGACAGTAGTCATTGTCTTCCGTAGCATTTTTCTATACTATGGAAATCAATAATAACAAAAAATTATATTTTAATGTTTTTGAAAGAAGTCTCTTATGCTTATCAAAGCTGCATTTATTTGATCAAAAATACAGTAAAAACTGTAATATTGTAAAATATTATTACAGTTTAAAATAACTAATTTCTATTTTAATACTATAAAATGTATTTTATTCCTGTGATGGCAAAGGAGAATTTTCAGCAGTAATTACTTCGATCCTTCAGAAATAATTCTAATATGATGATTTGCTAATATGATTAAACATTTCTTATTATCAATGAAAACAGTTGTGTTGCTTAATATTTTTGTTGAAACGGTGAAACGTTTTTCAGGATTCTGTGATGAATAGAAAGTTGAAAAGAACAGCATTTATTCGAAATAGAAATGTTTTGAAACATGTCCTCTTTACTGCAACTTTTGATCAATTTAATGCATCCTTGCTGAATAAAAGTATCAATTTCTTCTAAAAAAATATCCTACGGACCACAACATTTTGAATCATAATGTATAAATGCATGATACCCAGACAGCAACATAGTGTTGGCCCAGATCCGGCCCACATCTGGGCCATGTGAAATCCATGCGGGCCAGATGTGGGCCGGATCTGGGCCGAAACTGTCTGCTGTCTGGGTATCTGCCTCAGTGTTTTAGATTTTTTATTTTTTTTTTACATAATGAGCAAAGATATAAAAATCTAGAATTTATAGGTACAAGTTTAACAGTAACTATAGTCAAGTCAGTGTTTAATATTTGTCTGTCTGGTAAACCAAAAGCAATGGTGAGAACTGAGGAGTAATAAAAGCAGTACTGTCTGTCTGTCTGTCTATTTTCCAAAAAATACATGAACAAACAAAAGTAATATTTACTACACAAGACCATAGGGTGGCCAGTTCAATAATTGAGGTTTTAGAAGAAAGCACACATGCCCTCGATGTGCCCTTTTGCTCAGCCCTACAACTACATCATCAAGTGTGCAGTCAGAGGAGGAACATGAGGGTTTAGGGCAGCATTTGGGACAGCACCCTTGACAATGATTTACTAATTAAATCTCTTTTGAAGGATTTTAGAACTTGATAGTCAAAAATCCAAGAAAATCCAAGAAGCAAAAGAATCAGAAATGGACGGTGATATTAAAAGTGAAATAATAAAAAAGAAAACAGATTTAACATTTACAGTATCTGGGACACCTCATGGGAAAGAGGACAGTATTGAGGGTGCCAGAAAACCTCATGTGTGGTCTGAGGGAAGGATTACAGTCTTCTGATATCTCCCCTTGAGAGTCTGATAATAAAGGACCATTGTGCCACTCTCACGCTTGTCACCTGACAATTTGGGTCGAGTTAATTCGGTGTTGTCTCATTACATTGTGCACCAGAGGTGGGAAAGGACATTTATGCCTCAGGGACACTCTAGAGACCTTTCCTGACCTGATTATTGTAGCAACCGTGATAGTTTTTCTGCAAAGTTTGGCATGTTCCACATCAAACCAACGCTAAAAAAAAATCTAACTCTGTTTTTGAAGTCAGAAGCATTAACTCACATTCTTAAAGCCCCGATAGAGGATTTGAAGCTCTTTGCGTGAGAAACGCGTTTGAGCCTCCAGCTGCTCCAAAGCTTCTGGTCGATGGCGTACAGCAGACAGTTCCAGCTCATCCTCGACACTATCTGTAGAGAAACACACAACATCAGGGTTACGATCCAGCTGCTCACACTCAGATTAACAGCGTTAATCTAAAATTCTATTATTGATAAATTATAATAAATTATAAATAAGTAGTGGACCAAATAATGACAAAACATATAAACATTGAGATCTTTGTATTCAACAGGGAATATCAGATGTACAGATATGTGAGATATAAAACCTTTTTAATTCAAGTAATTTCATTTAATTCATAAGTACATAAAAACACAATTTTGACAGAAATTAAGCAGGTGATTGATGGTTACATCAATGAACCACTAGATGGCCACAAATCACTGAAACATTCACTTCATCCAATTTGTTCAAAAGCACCGATTCATTCATGAGCAAAAACAAGTGAATGTCTTTGAAAAAGTAATTGAATCATTCACTCAACCGATTTGTTCCAAAACACTGATGCATTCACTAAGTGACTGGCTGCTCTCTGAAATGGCATATTCTCTGAGTACATACTTCTTTTAAATAAGTACTTTGCGACTGTTAAAAAATGTATGTAGTACATAGTATGAATGTGTGTAGTGTGAATGCAATCTGGATGTACAACTTTCGTCATATTCATCCTCTCCCATGGACCCATGGCCTCATATCTTCGAAATCTCAGCGGAAACAATAGGTCATCTGAGTACTTTTTGGCTACTGTTTTATGAATACTGTAAATTCAGACGTTCTGCTCTTTTCACATACCGTTTTTGTCTACTAAATAGCAGGGAATTATGCATATTCAGATGCAGCCTGTCTTTATAAGTGAGTCACCGCATCAGTCACCGATCATTCACTCAACCACTTTGTTCAAAAAACACTGATTCATTTATGAACAAAACAAGTGAATGTCTGTATGAGTGAGCCACTGAATTATTCACTCAACTGATTTGGTCAAAAACACTGATTTATTCATTAACAAAGTAAGTAAATGCCTGTATGAGTAAGTCCTTGAATCATTCACTGAACCGATTTACTCAAAAACACTGATTCATTCATGAACAAAAAAGCGAATGTCTGTACGAGTCAGTCATTGAATCATTCACTCAAACGATTTCATGAAAAACACTGATTCATTCATGAACAAAACAAGTGAATTCCTGAATGAGTGAGTCACTGAATCATTTGGTCAAAAGCACTGATTCATTCATGAACAAAACAAGTGAATTCCTGAATGAGTGAGTCACTGAATCATTTGGTCAAAAGCACTGATTCATTCATGAACAAAACAAGTGAATTCCTGAATGAGTGAGTCACTGAATCATTTGGTCAAAAGCACTGATTCATTCATGAACAAAACAAGTGAATTCCTGAATGAGTGAGTCACTGAATCATTTGGTCAAAAGCACTGATTCATTCATGAACAAAAAATCGAATGTCTGTACGAGTCAGTCACTGAATCATTCACTCAAACGATTTAATCAAAAACACTGATTCATTCATGAACAAAACAAGTGAATTCCTGAATGAGTGAGTCACTGAATCATTTGTTCAAAAGCACTGATTCATTCATTAACAAAACAAGTGACTGCCTGCCTGTATGAGTGAGTCATTGAATCATTCACTCAACCGATTTGTTCAAAAGCACTGATTAATTCACGAAAAAAGCACCACTAATGCTCAGAGATGCACAACAATTCATTATGCTTTGACTTTGTTTGAAACTATTTTCTTCAGGAAAGCAAAAACACAAAGTAGCTGGCAATTTATTGTGTCTGAAATGCAAGTTACTCAATATTAACTTATTGTTTATTGAACTGTTGTATAAAAGCAGCATCACACAGTGAATATAGCAAATCTGTACTATTCTATCAGACTGATGAGGTTCTAGAGCAAATCTGTTCTACGACTTTCCATCTGTCCATAGGATCTTAACAGTCCTTGGTGTATCATTCTCATTAGCCTTAAATCTAAATAAGCTTTCAGCTTATATTTGAACCCAGATAAAACTGTGTTTCTGGACAACTGTGTTTCTCTACATTAACTTAGATCATATAGCATCCAATATGACCTGACTCTGAGATTTACACATTATTTACACCCCTAAAGGCTAAGTAATCTTTAAAAATAATGAGTGAGGAGCAGAAGCCAATAAAACAATGAAATGTAGAGTGAGTCTCATAACATTAATCAAAGGTGATGGGTGGTATTGGGAGGCACAGCGATTACTGTGGCACCTGAAGCGTGGAAGACTAATGGCTGACATATGACCCTCTGATCCACAGAAGACAACTCATCAAATGACTGGCAAACAGAACTGACACACATGAACATAATTTTCTCGTCTCGTCCTTCTGGGAGTATAGCGATCACATGCAATTAGAGTAATTGTAGTATCATTACCACTTCATGCAAACAACCCCGTTTCATAACACAATGCATAAGGATTTAAACAGAAGCATTCTTTGGCATCTAAAGTTGTTCATTAAAAACACAAAATAGAGCATTTTAACAATCAGCAATAATGATGACAGTTAATCATTTGCCAGTCTACTTCCAAAATTCAATACAATGGGTATTTAGGATTTGCTGCAGTTTTGGTCTCAGAATTTTTTTTTCTTCCAAGTTGGCTTTTCAAGAACATAACCTTCCCAAGAATAGAGCAGGAGGTATTCAGACGATAAATCATAATACTCAGCAGCTGGAAGACTTGAGTACAGATGTCTTTGGCTTACATAAGAATATGAAAAGAGTGAGAGAAAGAGAAATACAGAGGTCAAAGATGAAATAGTTAAAGAAAAAGAAATGAAAGGATTGACACTACACTTGTGAAAAGAAGTACATTTTAGCATACTTTTAAAAAGCGTACTTATTATGGAAATAAAATATTTTAAAGTGTGAACTAAATGTAATGTTGAATGCAAAGAAAATACTTAAGTGTTGAACTTAAGAGTGCTTTTTGACCCACTTAATAAGACTTAAGTGCATCTATATATGTAATTTCATAATTACTTCTATTGTCTTTGAAATATGGTTAACGTGTACCGCTGAATGTACTGACAAGCATTTATAATAACCTAAAAAATACTTTAATGTCATTTCTACAGAAACTTGTATGTCATGCATTTAAATATATCTGCAATTACACATTTGTAAGGATGAAGTTGCAGTTTAGTACATTTAAAATTTATTAACTTTAAATGCAATATTGAATAACACAAAATCTACTTTAAAGTAAAACTTTTAATTTTACATTATTACAAAGTGCCCTGTTTATAAGTGTTCTTAAAGGGGCAGTTCACCCCAAAAAAATTCTGACATCATTTTATTTACCCTCAAGTTGCCAGACAGTTGACGGTAGCCACTGACTTCCATAGTACCATCAACTGTGACCAACATTCTTCAAAATATCTTCTTTTGTGTTCAACAGAAAAAAGACTCATACAGGTTTGGAACAAGTGGAGGTGAGTAAATGGGTGAACTGTATCTTTAAGTACACTTAAGAGGTCTTTTATTATATTATTAATATTATATAACCTGCAAGTACAGTTTTTAAAAATTGAAGTACAAGTGCATTCAATACAATTAAGCACACTTCTTTTTCACAAGCATGTGGACAATACACTAATAGCAAAAGAGCTCTCCGAGGAAAGGTGTTGGAGGTTTGTTTTGAAAGAAGACTTGCTTTGGGTAGTGGTGGATGGTGCTTTGGTAGAAGAGCATAGGAACAGCTTCTTGAGCCGTGCCGTAACTCCACGCCTGCTGTTGTTCTGAAGGCAAGCGCTACCTAGAAGATACAGCGTGAGTGTCACCACGGCAATCAGGGTCGAACGGAGCATGCTGACATGAGTTCATGAAGCAAAGGATGCATGGATGTGAAGTTTCGTGCAGATCCAGGATCAGTTTATAGTTGTGTCTGTGAAGTCTGTTAGAATGACTTGATGACTTGTTCAGTCTTTTGTGCTGAGCGAAGGATATTTTCTAACCCCCCAAACCTCAGCGTAACCATGACATAAATCTTTCTACGTCTTTAGATTTTCATAAAGACTTGATTTACTTGGTTTATTAAGTTGGTTCTCTCATGAGTAAACTTTGCTGATTCTCACAACACAGGTGATTTTAGGTTTTAGTGTCGTTGTGGGGACATCTGATCCCTGCAGTGAAAGCAAAATGTGTCCCATCTCCACAATGAACCGGTTCACTGACCTTAAATGTGACCCTGGACCACAAAACCAGTCTTAAGTCGCTAATTTGGACAACTTTAAAGATGATTTTCTCAATATTTTGATTTTTTTGCACCCTCAGATTCCAGATTTTCAAATAGTCGTATCTCAGCCAGATATTGTCAGATCCTAACAAACCATACATCAATGAAAAGCTTATTTATTCAGCTTTCAGATGATGTATAAATCTCAATTTCGAAAAATTTACCCTTATGACTGGTTTTGTGGTCCAGGGTCACAAATATGTTTATTAATAAAATCACTTATCTATGAAACTTCAACCTTTAGAACATTTTTATTACTGTATTTAATGTTAAATACCTGTGAAGAATGAAAGTTTCTGAAAGAATGAAAAAATGTTTTTTTTTTTAAGAGGTGTAATTTTCACATTATCTTTATTTATGCAATATAATTTATTCTCAAAACATTACAGCTTTATTCTCAACATATTATGACTTAAATCTTGTATTACTTTATTCTCACAATTTTGACCTTCAACTTTATTCTTAAAATACTATGACTTGAATCTCATAATGCATTGACCTCATTCTCAAAATATTACAACTTTATTCTCAAAATATTACGACTTTAATCTCATAATGCTATGACTTTATTCTCATCATTTTTACTTTATTCTCAAAATATTATGACTTTAATCTCATAATCGTGGTACTGAAATGCGGTTGTATGTTTCTGCCATGCCACGGGATAAAAAAAATTATTAAAAAAAGGTAATTGTGACTTTTTATTCTGCAATTTTGGCTTTTTTCTCACAGTTGCGAGTTTATATCTCGCAATTCTGACATTTTTTTTTCTCA